TCACTCTGGGAAATGTCATGCTATGATTCTTTTGAAAATGTTTTCTATGTCTTTAGAACAAGAGTTTTCTCTTCCTTTTATGACTAACAAATTCAAAGACTTGTTCTTTTCAGAGTGTCGTAGATATCTTGGAATTTCTACTGGTAGTTTGCTATTTTTATCTTTATCCTTGTTAGATTGTTCCAGGTCCTAGACTTTGTCTTCAAGCTCAGATCTTCTGTCCTGGACTCGATCCATTTTACTGCTGAGACTTTCCACAGAGTTCTTTTTTTCTATTTGACTTGCTATCGTTTTTGATTTCAGCATTCTAGATGGTTTTATCTCTGGTATTTTGTCCCTTTGCTGACTATTCATAGCATCAACCACGTTCCTTCTTTCCCGCAGCTCTTTGTATCTTCCCACATACTTACCATCATCATTATGAGTTCTCTGTCTGAGATTTCATCTGACTCATTTTCATTAGATACCATTGCAGTAGGGTTATGTTGCTACAATGGAATTATGCATCTAGTGTTATTTCATTGGTTGGTTTATATTTTTTTAGCAGCTACTTTTTTTTCAGTTGAAGTATTTGTATTTCTCAAGTGGGACTTGAGTGTCATAGAGTTACATGTGCAATTGTAAAATAGTTCTTCAGTTCAGAAGTTCAAGGTGCCTCATGTAAGCTTGGTGTCACTCCCTGAGCAGGGTATTAACCGATAGAGCACAGGAGCTGCTTGACATCACTGCTCCACAGATGTCATATGTGTCCATTAGCAGCTATAGTCCCTTTGATGTCAATAATGTTTGGAGGATAAACACCCAGGGTCAATATGGCACAGTCTCAGATTTTAGCTTATAAGGTTATCAGTGGGAGCCAAGTGGGGTAGGCAAGGGTAAGAAGTAAATGTTGTCTAAAATCTGTGGAGGGGAAAGTTGGGATGCGCTTAGAGTCCACAGATTTTAGACATTGTTAAACTATGGAACATTACAACTCAGAAGCAGGGAAGTGTATATACGGATGAGCAAAGAAAAGATGGAGGGATAGGGGAAGTATATGGGATGCGGCTTGTGCTAGTTTGTTTCTCCATCACTGTGACAAAACACTCTGACCACTACCAACTTGGGGAGGAAAGGGTTTATTCAGCTTATATCTCCTGGGTCACAGTTCATTAGGAAGCCCAAAGTAGGAACTCAGGGCAGGAACCTGGAGGCAGGAGCTGGAGCACAGGCCATGGAGGAACACTGCTTACTGGCTTGCTCTCCTGGCCCATGCTCAGCCTGCTTTCTTATGCAACACAGGCCCACTTGCCCAGGAGTAGCACCACCCACAGTGAGCTGGGCCATCCCACATCACTCAACAATCAAGATGCCCCATGGACATGGCTACAGGCCAGTCCAATGAAGGCAATTCCCCAATTCAGGCTCCCTGTACCCAGGTGTGTCAAGTTGGCACTAGAGCTATCCAGCATACGGCTGAAGAGTATAGTAAAGGATATCTTAAAGCAAACTGGGTGGAGACACTGACAACAGTCCTAAAACCTCAAGATCAATACACAAACAAAAACAAACCCATCACGAACCATAAATACAAGAATGGAAATTAAGTAATATAAGAAATACAAAGAATACTTATGGAGTGAATTTCTGGCACAGCTGAGCTGAGTTAAGGGCAAAGTTCTCTGGTGTCCTTGGCTCTAGTAGATTCCAAGAAGAAAGTAGTTCCCTCAGACCCTTGCACGCTACCATGGCCTGTTGGTTCTGCATGGACAGCTGGTAAAGGAGGAACACACTGCCCTCTCTTCTGGGCAGCTTTATTCAACAGGCTGGTGGGGTGCCAACTGGAGAGGGCACCTAGGCTCTGACTCTGAGCTTCCCTCCAGAGATCTCCCCTGGCTTAATGAGTTCATGTATAAGCCTTATTTCTTGCAGGGTATGAGCTTCCTGTGTATTATATTTGTCATTTTATTTCACAAAAAGCTCAGGCTTTTCTAGACCATCTTACCTCAAACACTCCAGGGCCTCTTTGGAAACTCAATTTTTAAAGTTATTTTTGCCTTGAAGGTCACTAAGACAAAGAAGAATAGTGAACATAAAAACTGGATTAACACATAGGCAAGACACCCAGCAACCTTAGGGAAGAACTAGATTAATGGCATTATCTGTCTACTGACTGACAGACACACTTTATGCACTAGTAGACTCTAATGTGTGACTGAACAAAGCCTCCGCACACACCTCCCCCTTTTCCTTGGAGAGTGGTTAAAACGCCTTCAAAAGGACAGACTTGCCTGCATTTCACCCTGCCATTGTTAAATAGAGGTTGTTCTTGATGGGAGGCTGTTAGGAAAGGTAACATATTGACACAGTTCCTGTAGATATTAAATAGATGGGAATAGAGCTCGTTTTAGAGAGGAAATGGTGTGGAACACTGTAAGAGCAGCTCTTTGCTAGATTTAAAGGATGACATGAAGATGAAGGTTGGAAACGAGTGGGCACGTGATACCTCTGCTCAAACCCTCCCAGCAATGTCCCTACCACTTGGTCATCCACAGAGTCTGAAATGTACACTGGGAAGCATCGGGGGTGATGAGGTTCAACACTGACTTTATGCTGTAGTCTCTTATTGCGGGTTTCTGTTACGATTTTCTGCCTGTACATCTTCAGGAGAGTCAGTGATGGCCCTGGCCCAGAGCCCCTGAGCAAGAACTCAAGGAAGAAATGACTATGTACTTAGGAGTTCAGTGCCCACATATCCTATATGCTCAAGTCAAACATTCTAAGGTTGTGTCAATGAAACTTTAGTGTTATTTTTTTCAAGTTTAGTCCATGGAGAAAGTGAATGCACAGATTATTGAATGTGTGCACAAAGGTAAATACTACGCAGGTCTCCAGCTGGGGCATGTTCTTTGCCATCCAGCAACTGAACTGGGATGTATTTTGCTAGTGTGGAAACTTAATTGCTCATTTTTTGAGGGCACATTAACTCTTCCAGGGGCCATTGAGTAAATCAGCTCCTCTAGGTCATTAGGCCTGCCTCTCTGCCTGACACGACAGTTTCACCTGACATGGTTTCAGTTACCAATGCCACACGCTTGTTCTGAACACACACATTTTGTCTACTCGGGGAGAGAGAATGCACTCATTTGGATGTCAGCAATTGTTCTACAACCACACTCAGTGACTCTCAATCCTTCTATCAGGTGCCCTGGGATCGCTAAGAGTTTGCCAGTGCATAGCAGTTAAGAATGCTTCACTAACAGACCGGTGGCTTAGGGTATTTGGGACAATTTTGTGCTACCAAATGTCTCTTCATATTTGCAAAAGTTGAATTCATTTTGGATAGGAATGATGACACTAATTCAGGATTCTAAAGACCTTTATTACAATACCTTCTACTACAAGGCTAGGTTACCAGGGCATTCTTAAGGTCAATAAATCAATAGCCATTTACGAAAAATCTGAGAGCTAGGAAAATTTCATAGGTAGTTTGGGTGCTGCAAAAGCTGGGGAGCATCACTGTCCCTTAGTGAGGGAAAGTTCCACAAGAGAGTGATTTGTTTCCCCTCTCCTAAATGCAGATGGTTTTTGTCATGCCTGAGGGTCAGCGACTGAGAACTGAGGCAAGTTTTGCCTCTTTTTGCACTCCCGAGCTACCTTACAGAATCAGAGTTTGAAACAAGTGAGGATCTAGAGCATCATGGAGAGTTTTCAGAGGTATTTAGAGCAGAGTTTACTGCAAGTTCAAGTTATTGAGGCTTTGGTCATTCCAGTTCTGACTCAGGAAGTCTGGAGTACATTCAGGAGCTTTGCACATCTACAGTTTCTTCAGTGGTGCTGTTGCTGCCAGATCACACTGAATTGTGATGGTTTTAGATAAGACACACATGGGGCAAAACATGGTCTTGAATGAAGATCATGAATGTGAAGAAACTGGACAATATCTTCAAAAAGTAAATCTCAGATGAGATTTTAAGTCAATACTAAAATATCAGTCACAAAAGATTGCTCTAGTGTACAGCCCTAAACGGGACATCTCTATCACATCACCCCCCCCTCCTCCGCCACTGCCCTGCCAAGGCTCAAGGAACCCGCTAAAGAAAGGTTGTGAGACCAGAGGTGGTGGACAGTTGCAAGGAAACAAGGCTCTCCAGACAACAGGAAAAACACATGTGGAACTCACAGCAGTTCTGACAGCATGCACCAGACTTGAATAAACTCACTTCAGACAAAAATCCCATCAGGGAGCAAGAGGGTGGACACAAGTCCTACCCCTAGCTAAAGGGCTATTTGCTGGGAGAGGAAGAGGCAATTTTCTGTAAGGGTGTGACACCTGTTTTATAGGCCAACCACAATCCAGGGCAGGTTCACACCCAAGAGTGTTTGGGAAACACATACTGTACTGGATGGGGAAAAGAAGAGCATGATGGTGGGGAACAGGGAGGTGGGGTGGGTCTGAGAGGGGTTGGGCACAGGGATATGATCAAAACACACTGCATAAGGCTCTCAGAGATTAATAAAAATGTTGTTGTATATTTCATTAATGTTTCAACCTATCTGAAGACCTTGGTGAACACTTCGATACTGTGTTAAATTATTAAAACTTAAGCCTTGCATAGTGGGAGGCACTTCTGCCTCCAGCACTTGGGGGGCAGAAGCAGGTAGATAGATGTGAGATTGAGGCCAGCCTGGTCTACATAGTGAGTACCAGGCCAGCTGGGGTTACAGGGAGACCCTGTCTCAAAAAATAACTTTAAAAAAATTATTAAAACCTTATTGGTAATTTTGACAATATTTTATTAATCAACTCCAGATATCTCATAATGATATGAAAGTGATTTATTTTTTCTGCCATTTCTCTCCTGCTGGCAGATAGCTCAAGGAATGTCAATGCCTGGTGAAATATCCCTTTAAACAATTTGTATCAGCACTGTTGAAGCCCAGACTCCCCCTTTCTTACCTGTCTGTCCCCACAGCTTTCCTGTTCTTTCCTCTGAGATGTGCGTGTTCTGTCTTCATAGGTCAATGGCAAGGACCTCTCAAAGGCCACCCATGAAGAGGCAGTGGAAGCGTTCCGAAACGCCAAGGAGCCCATTGTGGTGCAGGTGTTGAGGCGGACACCCCTCAGCCGACCAGCCTATGGGATGGCCCCCGAAGTGCGGCTCATGAATGCCAGCACACAGACCGACATCACCTTTGAGCACATCATGGCCCTGGCCAAGCTCCGACCGCTCAGCCCTCCAGTGCCGGACGCCTGTTCTTTTCTGCTTTCAGACAGGTACTCCTGTCTTCTGCCTCCCTAAGCCCTGCTTGTTTATTCAGCATTTTAAGTGGGCATCGAGAAGAATCAGTCATCATGGCAACTTGTCCGTTCCAGATGTGCCAGGCTCCGCTGGGCATGCTTCTGGTTAACTAGTTGGGTTTCAGCTGTCCTCCAAGATCCACACAGTGGCTGCATTCAGGAATCAGACTTGCCAAGCTACAGTGGAAAGCCTGGCTCTGATTGGCTGATTGTCTTATTTCTACCCTCCAATGCTTATGAGCCCTAGTCAGGGAAATAACTTTCCTCACCAAAGCTGCCAAAAGCCTCATTAAGACTCAGGTGACAGTGACAAACTAGCACTGTACTCTGTGGGTCACCTCTCCCTCTTTTACTTTTCCTTTCTTTACAAGAGAAGCCAGGAAAATAATTAAAGTACAATTCTCCAAAGAAACCAATTACCCAATATAGTGAGATGCAAACAACCGGTCTTGGTTGTCAGAGAGGAAGCACAACGCTATCAAATAAGGAGTCATGAAAGGAATTTTCCTCCCAAAGTTTACATAACTTAAAGGCAGATATTTTATTCAAGTAATCTCATCTGGATGTTTTCTCCATTCATTCTGTACTATGAAGAAAGCGAATCTCCACACATCACTGCAAGTTAGATGGGCAGAGCTCCCCTTAGCTTACATTTTCTCTCCTGCTTTGTCAAACTCCAACTTGATCATGCCACTTCCCAGCCCATTTTTACTTTCTAAGGCCTGTTTCGTGGGTCACAGGCAGATTTGCCTGGGACCTTGAAGAAGCCCTATCAGTGTCAGAATCCCACTTCTCGCCAGTAAATAAATTTTAGAGTGTGGCTCAGGCAGCAACATTTTTCAAAAATTTCCCTAGGTAGCCAGGCGTGGTGGCACATGCCTTCAATACCAGCACTTGAGAGGAAGAGGCAGGCAGATCTCTGTGACATGGAGATTAGCCTGATCTACCTGAGAGTTCTAGGCCAGCTAGGGCTACAGGAAGACCGTGTTTCTGAAAACAAACAAAATTTCCCTATGTGATTCTAATGTACAAGCAGGTTTATAAAATTGCTCCTTGAGACTTCAGCTAACTGAGACTGTGTGTGTGTGTGGTCACCCCCTTCCATTACATACAAAGAGGCCCTTGTATCAAGCACAGTAATAGGTATTTGGAATAAAACCATGAACAAACTTAATGCTAATACCTCATAGTACTTATGTTAGAGTGAGAAATGAACAATAAACAAGCAAATATGGTAGTCATTAATACATCCTGACACACAGCAGCTATCCAGTGAATATTGTCTTAAATAAGTAGAAGTTAACTCTTGTTAGCAAACTTTAATACATTTTAGATAATATTCCAAGTGTTTTACATTACTGCCTCACCTAGTCCACACAACAACCTTACAAGAGAGTGCATTATATTATTAGCATCCCCATGTTGCAGATGAGGAGACAGATGCGACGCTCCTTGGCCTGGGCTTTGCTGCAGGGGGCCCACTTCTACCGTGTGATCTCACAGTCCCATGTTTTCCTTTTAATTATTCCCCTATACTAAAAATTACCACTGTGCTGCTTTCTCCAATTAATAGGGCAAGAATTGGATTTTGTGCACAAACGCTTTTTCAGCCCTTGGCAAGGAACCTGGCCTCTGGTAGGCACCCGGCCAGTGTTTATGGAATGACTGTGGTCCTTCAGGGCAGCGCTCCCTTCTTACTAGCTGATAGAAAAGGGAACACGCCAATGCTCCAATCAGAGACTTGTGACATTCTCCTAAAATGGCTTGTGAAGTCCTCAATCCAGATGCAAGGAAGTGAGATGGACCTGGCACAACAGCAGCTGGGAGGCTGCCTCATACTGCTTAACTCCATAGAGAACCAACAGCCAGAGTGTCACTGAGAAAACACCGGTGAGGACTTCCACTAGCCTTGTAAAAGGACATCAGGGTAGATCCCACCCACCTTTCAGACAGTTAAAGGAGAACTAATTTATACTAATTACAGGTATTCAATAATGTGCACAATGGCAGGCTTAGAGGCCAAACCTGCAGGCAACTTATTTAGTTTCACTGCTTTTAGAAATAAAGATGAGGAGCTGGAGAGATGGGTCAGCAGTCCAGAGCACTGGCTGCTCTTTCAGAGGATGCAGATTCAGTTTCCTGCACCCACAGAGCAATTAACAACCATCAGTAACTCCACTTCCAGGGGATCCAATGCCCTCTTCCTTCTCCACAGGAATTACATGACACAGGTATACTTTCATACATGCAGACGAAACACTCATAAAACATAAAATTTGAAAAAATAAATAAAATTTAGAAATGGAGATGGCCTTGTGCTCTTTGCTATTAGACTATGCTTAGTCCCCTTGTGCCACAATGTATGCTACCTATATCATAGTATGTAATTTGGATGTCACTTCTCTAAGTTACTGGATCTCCCAAATGTTCAAGGATGAATAGAAGCTGTGCCTGGATCAGCTTACTCCCTTCACCCACTCTATTATTTCTGTTGCCAGGAATTTTCTAATGGGATTATAAGACCTAGTAGTTGGTTCACAGGACTTTTCAGGGAGTTGTTGCTCTGCTACACATAATCTTTGCTATGCTATCCTGCACAGGCCCTTTGTCAAAGAGGTGGGGCATGTGGTTATGACGGAGGATACAAGGGGAGTCCTAAGGAATGGACAGCAATGTGTTTACATTTTATAGTCTGGAAAATATGTGCCAATTTGGAGCTGTGGTTTTGCTCCATAGGGTACCCTTCTGGGTAGGGTGCAATCCTAAATGCAACCCATCTATGCTGGGATCATCACACTCAGTGGAGTGGAAGCAGGTCAGAGGGTACCTCTGCAGTACCACAGACTATGGAAGAATTCACATTGTTCTCATGACAGAATGCCAGCTAGAGCCCTGGGCCTTGCTCTTAGCATTCAGAAAGAAGGCATTGGTGGGCTTCATGGAGGAGGGGAAGAAAATCAAGGGCTCCGACAGTCCGTTCATGGCAGAATCACTGAGATCACTAACAAATATTGGTCCAAAGCAGACAAAAGCTGAAGTGAAATTCTAAAATCCGTTTTGAGCACTAAAGCGGTCCTTTTGATCTGCTGCTCTCCTGTCCCCATAGCTACCATTCACTGCATCCGATGGAGCATGAGTTTTATGAGGACGAGTATCTTTCTAGCCTGCCAGCTGATGTGGACAGAACAGCAGATTTTGAGTATGAGGTAAGAGTGCATCCCATCACCTTTCCATGTGGAGTTAAGGTTGAGGGGGTTATGCATAACAAAGAAATCAATTTATTACTTTCAGAAATGTCTTGTCTATTATATACCTAGAATAAGACCTTTTAAATAGTTTTACTTATTTGTTTATAATATTTAAGTGTGCTGGAAAATATTTCTGCAGTAGAAGCTTGAAAATAATCTGCTTACATTTTTGTCGCTTTTTTATATAATTTTATAGTGGCTACATTTTTTTTCTCTCGGATATAAGTGCATCTCTAATTAGAGTTTAGAAAGGACATTGTATTTTCATTGTGTTGCCTGATTTGAATTGGAAAAGTAAATTTTATTTTATTTTAGTGCATTCTCTTCAAAATTCCACTTTCTCTTTACTTATAACTCAGGTGTGAATGGTAAAGACCAGGTTCATAGATGTTTTAGAAACAAGATGGCCTCTGTTAGCAGCTCTTAAGCTGTTTTGCCTCCACGTGGTTGGTATATGTGACAGTCCCTGTCACCCACCTTCACAATACTCATCTACTAATTATTTAAAACATTCCACAAAAGTTAGAGAATTTACACTGATATTGCTTCTACTTCTGCATCTACAAATCTTGGCTTCAGAGTACTTTGACATTTGGAAATAAAATAGATTGAAGAGGGAAAGAAGCTGGTAAACAGGCAGAGAACCGTGATTATCTGCCCTTTTAATACTTCAGATGATGTCATACAAGTTCAGCAAAGTGTTCTTTTTCATTTTACAACCAGAAAATCCTGAAATCTCTTCCCTTAAGAGGATCTAAAATCAAATAAGGCCAACTCAGTGAAGCTCACCTAAAGCAAACAGACATTTATTTGAAATCTTCCTTCTGCAAAAGTCATTGGTAGCAGTTAGAGAAGTCATTATCTCCCTGCACCTGGGGTTTGGAAAGATGTGCAGCGACCCAGCATCTGAGCTGTTCTTGTTGTTTGTGTTAAATTGTCATCTCTTCCTCTTCCTGAAAGTGACTGAAAAAGTTTCAGAAACTTGCTCAAGATTGGCATGTACTAAAATGTCCATTACATTTCATCTATTTGTGAAAATAAATTATAAAATGGAGTCACCTATTCAAATGATTTAAGAGTGAACAGTTGGAGTCAGTTGGATTCAGTTAATGACCACTGGGCTTAGGGACTGGAACTGTCCTGGCCACTTAAGCTTCTCACTTAGCTTGTTTCTTGTAGCTGTACTAAAATAAGTCCATGCTCTGAGAGGGTCTGGGAGGAAGCTAAGCATGTTAACTGGAAGAGTCTTTTAATTAACCAGTATGTCATCAAATACCATAACACAGGCAGATTTCCTTCTAGTTCTGTAGGACCCACTGAGGCTGAGACACATTCTCATTCCGACCAGAACCGATCCTCAGTAAGATGCCAACCTCAGGCCTATGACAGTGGGAAGTGTTCAAACAAGCTCTCCATAGCCTGTAATCTCAACTAATCACACCTTCATAGTCATTAATTTGCTGTCAGCTGTGATGTTTGTTGCCAAAGGCACCTTTCTAAGTGATTGAAATGAAGACTATTCCGTGAAATTTAAATAAGGAAGGGAAGCATTTGCTGTGACAGTGTTGGTCCGAGAGAAAGAATTACCCAAAGGTAATTCACCTAATTTAACAGAAAACAATGTTCCTGCCTAGGACCCAGATCAGAACCCAGTTCTTTAGAGCATCACACAGGAGAGACACACAGCAGCGCCCATGATGCATCAGGTCTAAATGCAGCTCAATCTCTAAGGGAGAAAGAACAATGAACAAAGGAAAACAGGCACTCTGCTGGCTGAGGGGAGGGGTGGGTGACAACAGTAAGACTGAAGCCGGGGACTTGGAATTAGGACAAATTGTTACTGTGTAATATGTGGTGGCCAGGGAGGTCCTCTCTCATGGACAAGAAGACCTGGTGCCATGTGGAAGGAGCTTTCTTGAAAGAGAGAAACGGAAATGCAAATACAAAGGCCAGAGCAGGTTCATGGTGGGAACTCAAGAAGCAGAAGATAGAGCGCCACGACTCCAGCTGTAGGTACACTCGGGACTGGGACCGCTGAGGCAGTGAGAGGTGCCATCTGCAGCAGCCTGGGGCTTTCTCTCTGAGATGAGGACCTGGAGCAGAGCGGGGTAGGCTCTGCATGACCATTTGGCTTCTGGGATGGGCTTGGTAAGAAGAGAATAAAGGCTTTAGCAGTGCAATGCGGGGGGGGGGAGAGGGAGAGGGGTCAGGACACAGTCTATAAGGACTCAGCACTGGGCTGGGTCTAGCTGTGTGTCCATTTCTTGCCCCATAGCTGTCATAGTTTGTACTGCACCAGTTTTTCTCCTAACTTTTAAAAAGCAAAATAGCATAAAATGCCCGAAATACAGCTGCTGGCATCCCTAGGCACTGTCATAACAGGAGTACTTGTTAAAGGCAATGAGCAGGTTCTGAAGATGTACTCACACAAATGCCCATCAGGTAGGTATTCAGGCACCATTTTACAGACCTGCTTACACAACTCTCAGTGAACCGTGGCTGATCTGTGTATGTTGTGAAGACATAGCTAGGGTTTTAGTACACGGATTATTGACCCAATAGACCAAAACAGATCTGACCATCCTATGAACACATATCCAGGGATTTTTAAACATGCTGATCATTACATTAGTGAACTCGCATCCTCCCTCAGAGCCATGATGGACAGTGAATGCTTCTTTGGAGATATTATAAACCATGGGTCAATGTTATGGTGACTCTGGTGTGTTAGGGATCTCTATGAAATTTTAATGACACCCATATCTCACCATGACCTATCACCATTTTTCTCAAGAAAAATATTTGACTGGGTTTTAAATTTCCCCACTGTGTTTCAGAAAGTCTCAGAGGACCAGTCTACATTAAAAGACTCACAGCTTGAAATTTTTTCTCTGTAAAAAATGATGGCACTTGCTCTCTAATTAAAAATGATGGATGATTTTAATTTTATTTTTGAGGAGAAAAATAAAAGTATCAAAATTTAAACAATGTACCTACCTTAAGAGTCAGGATGCCTCCTGCCACAGGGCACCAGGAAGGGTTAGGCATCTCCTCTTCTTGATTTTCAGCTTGGTTCATTTTTTCCTTAAAGGCAGCCAACGTTGAAATAAATCATAAATAGCCCTTAGCAAGTCAGAAGCACATCTCAACTCCAGACTCCACCAGAAATAATTTAAAGGGAAAGGTTCCAAGAAACACAGAGCTCTTCATCCAACTCCTAATAAATACATGTTCGCCACTGCCTCCTACAAGGAGAAAGCTGGGATTTTTGTTGTTCTGTTTTGTTAGTTTTGTTACAAATAATCCCCAAAATCCTCCTCCATGAGGAGGAGTCAAAAATAAGTAAAATTTTGGCCTTAACATACATGACAGAATGCATGAAGTCCAATGGGGGGCTGTGGCAGGTGCAGATGTGGGAAGGGGTCTAAATAAGATTAAGAGTTTTTGTATGAAATGCACAAAAAATCAATTAAAATATATGTTGAAAATAATAAGAAGGGCTGGAGAGATGGCTCAGCAGTTAAGACTACTGATTGCTCTTTCAGAGGTTCCGGGTTCGATTCCCAGCACCCACATGATGGCTACGAACCATCCTTTACTCCAGTTCCAGGGGAATCCAAAGCCCTCTTCTGACCTCCACGGCATTGCACAACACGGGTGCACTCACA